CGACAATGTCTCAGAACTAACAAACATTTATAATCACATATTCGAAACTGGAACACTGCCACAAATATGGTTGGAGTCTACATTTTCCCCTTTCCAAAAAAACCTAGTACATCATCATGTAATGACTTTAGAATAATTAGTTTCATGAGTCACTCTCTCAGGCTACTTCTTAGGATAATTCTTAATAGAATCAAGCAGAAACGTGAAGACACAATGGGAAATAAACAATTCTGTTTCAGAAAAGGATTGGGAACAAGGGAAGGTTTGTTCTCAATGCTAACACTATTTCAACGATCATGGGAAGTACAGAAACCAATTTACGTCTGTTTTATAGATTTTAAGAAGGCGTTTGATAGGGTTCAACATGGTAGGCTGTTTGAATATCTAGAAATGATTGGAATGGATGAAAAAGATCTGAGACTTTTACAACATCTATATTGGAATCAACAAGCTTCTATTCTGGTAGACGGCAAAGAAACAGACAAAATTTGTATTCAAAGAGGTGTTAGTCAGGGTTGTGTGTTGTCCCCAACTTTGTTTAACGTTTACTCAGAAATAATTTTTAACGAAGCCTTGGAAGGGCAATGTGGAGTTCGAATCGGGGGAGAAATTATTAAAAACATCAAATATGCAGATGACACCGCGATCATGGCTGAAAGTATCGAAGATCTTCAATTCCTTATAGATCGAGTCACTAGAGAATGCTCTAATAACGGACTAAGCATAATTACAACAAAGACAAAGTTACTTGTGGTTAGTAAATAAGACCTCGGCGCTATACAACTAATGAATCGATAACAAAAGTTAACCATTTTAAATACCTAGGATGTTGGATAAACGAGACACTAAATCCGTATGAAGAAATTAAAACTCGTATAGAAATTGCAAGAGGAGCATTTATGAAACTTAGATTTATTCTGAGCAATTCTCAGCTGAACTTACAGCTAAGAATTAAGTTCCTAAAATGTTATGTGTATCCTGTATTACTGTGTGAAATCTGGATTATAAAGGTTAACATAATGAACAAATTAGAAGCCTTAGAGATGTGTTTATATCGTAGAATGTTCAGAATATCATGGTTTCAACACATTTCAAACAGAGAAATCTTGAACAGAGTAGGTCAAGGTGATGGTGAATTAATAAAGATGATAAAAAAGAGAAAACTTGGGCATATAATAAGAGGAAGCAGATACAGGATAATGCAGTTGATACTCAATGGAAAGATCGACGGAAAAAGAGGAATTGGTGGGAAGAAATACTCACGGCTTGAATTATTACGTGTCGCGCTAGATCGAGAACGATATCGGCAAAAACTTGGACACGGTACTCAAAGAAGAAGAAGTGCTTGAAAAGACAATGAAAAACACAATCTTAAAAAAAAGAACCTTCTAGGACCAATCGAAATCAAAATGGCAATTTTTTATTAAAATCATATTTCCATTGTTTATTAACATTAAGGGCAAAAAATTAAACAGATTTAAAACGAAGATCTGTATTTTATGATCCATTTTATAGATATCATATAACGAGAAAGAATAAAAAGATGTAACCCGTTAAAATGATGGTACTTGCAAAATACCATGATGGTACTTAGAAGGGAACTTGACTATATAAAAAAATTTGCAATATCTCGATTTATATGACACGCAGAAGCTTGATCTTTTTTAATTCTGGTAGCTCGATAAAATAATAAGACCTGTGCTGTTTTCACCTTCCGGAAAAAATTGAATTTTACTACTATTTCGTAAAAATATTGAAATTTTTTTAATTAATATATATTATTTATATAAACATATATTAACAATTATTAATTCTCATTGTACAATGCAGATTCGTTTCAAAATTTGTCTTAAAACAATTATTGAGTGTAAAAACTTTATTTAAATAAATTCTTCGACTATGAATACTTAAAAATAAGTCGTTTCATTTTAATTTAAATAAACACATTTGGAGTATTAACTTTTAATTAATAATATATATTTATATAAATAATATACACTAATTATTAAATTTAAATATTTCTTACGAAAAATAGTAAAATTCAACTTTTTATTGAAATATTTAACTAATTATTTTTCGATTTCCGGAAGGAAAATGCACAGCTCTTACTATTTTATCGAGTTACCGCAATTTACAAAATTAAACTTCTGTCATATAAATCGAGTCATAGAAACCGAGATATAGAAACGTGGTCGGTATAAGATATCTTCAGGATTCGACGATAAAGCCACAATATTCGACGATAATGTTAATAACAAAGAAAATATGATTTTAAGAAAAAATGCCATCTTGGTTTCTATTGGCCATTTTTAAGATTGTGTTTCGCAGTATCTTTTTAGTTTTTATAAATACTTATAAGCTAAAAAGTCAGCTCTTTTTCAAACGGTCTTTTTTATAACAATTTTGACAAAATGAAATTTTTTTAATACATCTTAAAATTAAAAACTCAAAGAATCGATTTTTTTTAAATATTCTAAATGTATCTTCCAAGTTAGTTTTTGGTCAAAGATCATACCAAGGAATCTAACTTCGTCTACATATTTAAGCTGTCCTCCATTTAAATATAAGTTCTTGGGTTGTATTTGGTGACTTTTCGTATAACATACTGCTTTGGTTTTGAGAGTATTGAACTGAAGACCACTTATGTGGTCTTCAGTAAATGACCATTCTTCAATATGATTTATAGCTTTTGGACATGGTTATGATGGTTGTTAGGTTCTTAACCATCTGCATATAGCCTAGCTTTTACAGGATGTTTAACTTTTGCGGTAATAGAATTCATAGCTACAAGAAACAGAGTAGTGCTAAGGTTCGAGCCCTGTGGTATACCATTTTCTTGATTTTTTTATTGATTATTATTATACGCCGTCTACTATATATTGATTATACGCCGTCTACTCTGACTTGAAATTGTCTATTAAATAATAAAGTTTTTAAAAAGTTTTAATATGTATTTGAGTATATTACCTCTTACTTTTCATTCGCTGAGCTTTTTTAGAATTGAATATTTTCATACTGAATCATAGGCTTTACTAATATCGAAAAATATTCCAATACAGTGTTGTTTAATTGCGAAATCCTCATGTATTTCCGATTCTACATCAATAAGGTTGTCTACAGTAGAACGAAACTTTCGGAAGCTGTTTACTTTGTATAGATTTATGTCTATTTATGAATTGCTATGGTTAATATTTTATTGTTAAGTTCTAACTCTGTATTACAATCCACACGTGATAATAACGCTGCATGGATGATGCGTCATGTAAGAAAAAAAAAAGAATCGATTGCGATCTGCTAAATACCGCTAGCTTCAACTGTTTGGACAAATACAGTTTTTTAAATAATCGCTCTCCAGGATAAAAAAAATTAAATAACTTCTAAACTATTTTTATTTATATACGTTTTATAGATAAAAAATTATTTGGTACTTTTTATAATTATTCAAAATTCAAAAAAAAAATAAAACAAAATCAGCTGTACATCTTCAAGCATTTGCATTCAGCTTCTCTCATTTACCTTTTAAAACCTTCAAAAACATGTGTAAGATTCACTGGGTATCACTAGAAATCATAATTTCACTACACGTGAGTTCCCAAAAGTGGGCTAGACTTTTTATTAAACAATATATTAAAAAATTTAAAGAATTCAGTACTTTTTCCCCGTTAATCTCATATATTTCAGGACTAAAACTATTAGTTTTAGAATAATTTTCAAGAGGAATAAAAGTTTTGCAATTAAATTTTACATATTGTGTGGTTGTAAATCTTAAAAATTATTATTATAATAATGAAAAAATAATAAAAATTACAAAAAATTGGTAAAAAATCAATTGTGATTTTATTTATTATACTTCAATAATTAATAATTATAATCATCACACAAAGTCTTAATAAAATCGATCAAATAGATTTTGCACAATAATTTTGCAATCTAACTTTTTCAAAAAAAGTTAATAATTTTCAAAATTCAAACTTTATACTTCAACCAGGGTATTCAAACTTTCAAATTTATCTTGATTTATGCAAAAAAACTACATTTATATACTTTCCATCCAAATTTGGTCATTTTAAAACAGATGGTATAAAACAGCAAATTACTGCTTTTACCAACGATATTGTATTTATCAAAGCTAGAGCCGGAAAAAATGAGAAATTGAGTGTGATCCTGTTTTTTTGCTTTGTTTTTGGAATATATTTTTGTCAAAAAAAATTATTTTTGACTCTAAAAGGTGACATTTCGATAGGAAATTTAATTTTGAACAACTTTTTTGTAGATGATAAAGTAGTACTAAAATTTATTTTTGCATAAGAATGAAATTTTTTAAATAACATTTTAAATAGTTACTCGACATTCTCCCACCTTCAGAAATTTGACATAATTTCTCAAAAAATGCAGAGAGTTGCGAAAAAGTCATGAAAATATCACTTAAATCGTAGAAGTTTTAGCCCTGTTTTTTTTTTTCAAATAAGCAATAGCGTAACGTAAAATATAAGATTAAATACTTATAAATGGGAACATTAGGATTACTACAGAAAGAAAAAAGTAAAAATATGGAATATTGAAAACAAAGAGTGCTGTTTGGAACACGTTGATCACGATATGGAAATAGAGCAAAGAATAGCCAAGGGGAGTAGTCAAGGAAAATGTTTATGGAAAAATATATATAATTTAAATAAAAATAAAAGTAAATCATAATTAAAAACAAAATAAACTATTTAACATGTCATGCTCGAGATGAAAAGGTTGTCCATATACAATTATTAAAACTTTTAAATTTTTTAATTGTAGTAAAATCAAACTGAGTTGTTATAAGCAAGAGTTACACAAACATTTTCATTTTTTTAAACATAGGTGAAACCTTAGACAATAATAAATAAGCAGAAATTACCTTCATAGCAAAATAAACCACCAAAAAGTTCAAAATTCAGATTTGGCTAAATATAAAACATAAATACAAAACTCTATGAAGTTTATTAGTAAAAATACATTTTTATACTTACTTGATGATATAAAAAGGGTCTTGTGAGTGCCAGCCATCTTTCAAGCGCCATAACAAATGCTACACATCCAGAACCAAGACCAAAAGCCCGTACCACCACAAAACTTGGACAATATACAGAGGGATGAAAGTAAGTATAGATTCCTGGATTTGTAAGAACGACCATTCCAATTTGGGCCATTAAGTCATTGGCAGCTAAGCATCTCAACATAAACAAATGCTTTTTATTTCTTCTAGAGGCCGTTTTGTAGAGGATATAAAGTGCTACTAGATTGGCTAGGAGGCCTAAGAGAAAAGCCAATTGCATGACATAACTCCAAATACCCTCCACCATTTTTTAAGTTATTTAAACTCTTCTGTCAACGTAAATCAGTTTCTGATTTATTTAGCAAAGGCTATACGGCATAGTACCGACAAGATCGGCCAGTAATTACAGCGACTCTTCGACAAAAGCTTCTGGAACACTGAGATTCTAAACGATGTGGCGCTACGAAGTTTAGATCTGTAAAAGAAACATCAGTGGTTAAATATGCACTACTGTGATAACTACTGATAAGAACAGTTTATATGTATGCAAAACTAAAAGTACAATCAGTGCTTTTTGACGCAATTAGATTTTTATTAATAAATCTAATTAATTTTAATTTTATTAGTTCTTGTTAAAACCATATCTTGTGGTCTGACTGAAAAGGTGTTTCGTACCATACAAGGGGAAGTTAAAATATATTTTTGACTAGAAATAAAAAATAGTCAAACCTAAATGATATGTACATATATATTTAAAAATAATTTCAGTACGATAGACCAGGGAAACACGCAAAAATTACCCTCTTTGTGACAGTCAACCGGGCAGGCAAACGACAGTTGTTTTGAGTAGTATGGACCTTGTAACAAAAATCTATATGTTTCCTGCAGTCAATTTTTTGGACTTATATTAATTTAATTAATTATTAACAAATTAGGGTCAAAAAACGATAAATTTTTGCTTTTTTCGTCTATCAGCAAAAAGAAAAGCATTTGAAACAAATTTGAGAATCAAATGCTTATAAGCCATAATAAAACCCTTCAAAATGGCGTTTTCTAAATGATGAGCAGACTTTCAAATCGCACTTTGTCCATATTTTCACATTCTGACTTCGAGGTGGTGTTGGATTCGTCAAAACATCATTTATTAATTTACATACTCCTAGATATTTTAAACTTAATATTTCACGTATACTTTTGGCTTCAAAAATCACCTAGACAAACAACACGCATTTTATCCAGTAGCGAGAGACAAACAAATAGCGCTATTTTGCTTGCAAGCCTTTTTTACCATGTAATGACTTTATTTTATTATCAGACATTGTAGGAATCAACATTATATGATATAATTGATGTTTAATAAGTTGTTTCTGATTACAATAACAAAATTAAAATGAGTCAGATCAGGAGGTCAGATGATTTTTAAATCAATAAAGGAGGAATATGCTGATAGCGTGGCATATTGCTTTGATCTGCGACAGGTCCAAAATCTTTTAAAAGCGCCTATTACGGAAGCATTCTATGCTTCTATATATCTATCTATAGCCCAAAATCTATTCATGTGTTGAATATAGGCCTCTCCCATTTGTCTCTGTCTTCTGTTTGTCTTTTCCACATTGGAACTGCGCTTTGCTCAATGTCATCTTTCCATCTCATTTGCGGTCGACCTCTTGACCTTTTTGCAGTATATGTATATCTTCCATCCTGATATCTTCGATTATGCCCAGCTCATTTCCATTTTAATTTCAATGCATGTTCGACAGCGTCTGTTTTTTCGGTTTTGCATCTTATCCACTCGTTCCTCTTTTTATCTCTCAACGATATTCCCAACATTTGTCTTTCCATAGCTCTTTGAGTTTTCTTTATTCTATCTAAGTTGCTCTTGGTACACGTCCACGTCTGGGCACCATATGTCAGAACAGGTAGAACGCATACATTAAATACCTTCGTTCTTAATTTTAAAGATATTTTTTGGTTTTTGATAGTATACGAGAGTTTTTCGAATGCAGCCCACCCCATTCTTATTCCTTTGGGTATTTCTTTAGTTTGTTTACTTTTGCCTGCTCTGATAGCTTGTCCTAAGTAAATATATTTTTGGACGTGTTCTATGTTTGTTCCACCTATAGTAATTACTGATCTGTCTTCTGTATTAGTCATTATTTTAGTTTTTTTTAGATTCATTTTTAGTCCTTTCTCAAGAGATGTTTTTTCTAGGTTTGAAATCATTATTCGTACTTGTTCCATAGTTGTTGCTATCAGTAGTACATCATCAGCGAATCTTAGATAATTTAGATATTTCCCGTTTATACAAATCCCTTTCTTGTCCCAGTCTATAGATTTAAAAATGTCTTCCAACGCCAGAACAAATAGTTTGGGTGAGATTGTATCCCCTTGTCTGACACCTCTACAAATTCTAATTCATGGGGTTTGCAAATATCTGTCTAGCTGAATTCTGATAGTGACGTTTAGATATATATATTACGAATTAACATTCTGCACCGTGAATCTATTCGGCAATTAACTAGCGCTTCTTCCACTGCCCATAGTTCTATGCTGATCAAACGCTTTTTCATAGTCAACAAACGCTAGGTATATTGGAAGGTTATATTCGTTGGTCTTTTCTATAAATATTTTAAGCGTGTGAAGGTGGTCGGTTGTGCTGTACCCCTTTCTAAACCCTGCCTGCTCAGCTGGTTGGTATGCATCAAATTTGTTGTTTAGTCTAGTTGTGATCACCTTAGTGAAAGTTTTATATATTTGTGACAAGAGAGATATTGGTCTATAGTTAGCTAATTTTGATCTATTTTCTTTCTTATATATCAGAATTGTATTTTCCTTGTCCTTGCAGTATTTGTCCTTCAAACAAACATTTGAATATTTCATAGTTTACATTCATTATTTTCTTTTTCAGGTTTTGTTGAGTTGTATCAGATGGACTGTTTTTAGAGCTGTAGAAAGCACTATACTATTCCCTTATTATCTTAGATATTTGGGTTCTACTTTTTTCTATTACACCTTGTTTATTTTCCATCTCTATGATTTTATTTCTTCCTAGGTGGGACTTGATAGATCTTAAGTTTCTGTTTTCTTCTATAATCTTGTTTTATATGTCTTCTTATTTCTGTATTAAGGGTTTTGCATTCAGTTATATTTCTTTTATTTTCTTGTAGTAGGCTTTTCCGTTGTTGTAGCATGTCTAAAGATATGGCACTTAGTTTTGATTGTTTGTCTGATTTTGCTGGTGCGACTTCTAAGATGCTAGTCTTTAGAAGTTCTTTAGTAATGGCTTTGTTTAGCTGATCTAGATTTAGGTCTGTTAGCTTCAGTTCTTGAGCTGTTCTTAATTTGTTTTTGTATTGTTCTTTATTCTCCTTTAATTTTTCTGGGTGGACTTGTTTCTTAGAGTGCACATATTGTCTTCGATCTTTTTTGTGTTTAATACTTATTTTAGCCCGTATCATTCTGTGATCACTACCAGTAGAGATTGAGTTTATTACTGTGGCGTCTTCGAAAATGTTCTTTTTGTTTGTTAGTATGTAGTCAATTTGATTTTTAGTGTCCCATCTGGCGACATCTACGTCCATTTCCTATGTGGCTTTTTCTTGAAGAAAGAGGTCATGGCAAATAATTTGTTGTTTTCTAGATAGTTAATCAATTGATCTCCTCTTTCATTTCTTACTCTATGTCCAAATTCTCCAATACAGTTTTCGTTTTCTTCTAGTTTTTTGCCCATTTTCTATGTTTAGCAACTGTCTTTTTATGAATTTCGTGTGACAGATATTTTAACAAAAACTCCTGTTTTTTTATACATGGCTTGAATATGAAGCAGAAAAAGGTGTGGTAGAAATAAGTTCCGCGTTGACTGACTTTTTAAAAAAGACTGATTTTGACCCAGATAATAAATATCTAAGATTATTTTAAGATGGATGTGAGGGTCAGAATTAATATTCCCACATGGTACATGCACTCACCTTGCGGCTTTTGAATATTGCCCCAAAAACTATTAAAACAATTACAATGACGTTTCGCGTTCGTGGCCATTCGTTTATGCCAGCTGATCGAGTTTTTGGTCAAGTTGAGCTAGACTTACGTGCCCATGCTTTTATAAAGTCACTAGACAAATATGAAATATATTTTAAGAAAGGACAAGTATGCTGGGCCTCTGATTGGACTTTGTATGACATAAAACATGCAGTACTTCCACTCAAAAAAGTTATAGGTATCAGTGGAGCCAAAATAATAATCGTAATTCGAGGCAAACAAATTGCTGGGGAAAGTAAAATCTTGTATCAAACAGAGGTATTGTATGAAATCATGACTCTTCTAAAAAGTTTTTAAGTTTAATTCAACACAGAAAAAAACTAAGTAACATAAAACTGCCGGAATTGTCAATAAAACATGCTGTTAAGAAGAAAAAACTGGATAGCTTATCAAAATTTTAGTTGATTTATTAGACAAAGAATTGGCATTAATTCCAGAATTAACTTGGTTAGATCCAATTTTGAAAGCAGTATCATGAAAATAGAATTTTAAAAGATCAGACCTGCGATCAATGTAAAGATGGAGAAGAATGTTGCTGTCTTCTGGAGGACAATATACATGTCATATGATTTTCTTTACTATATTACATTCCAAACATGCAGAAATGCATTTTCAGTCCATGTTTTTATTTTAATCATTTAGGGACAACCAAACTACATTTTGTCATTTAAAGACAACCAAATGGCGTTTTGCCCATCAATAATCGTTTTTTTTTAACTAATAAAGCTTGATGAAACTTATAAATAGGAAAATTGATAATAAAAAAGTACATTTATTAATATTTTATGTTTTGATTTTAACTTTATTCATAATTGGGTAGCAGTTTTTCACACTTTCTGAAAAATGTTAAAAGTGGACAAAATGCGATATGAAAGTGTGCTCCTCAAATATTCCTATCCTTATTTGTTGTTAAAAAAAAAAGAACATGAAATTTCTGGTGAAGATCAAAAGTTTAAACCAAAGATTATTTTCGATTACAACAAAACCAAAAGTGGAGTTGATATTTTAGATAAATTGATCCGAGAATATACATGCAAAAGAGCAACAAGAAGATGGCGCTTACGTATTTTTTTTTAACTTTTTGGAGATTGCATGCTACAATGCTTTCGTTTTATGGAATATGAAAAATCCTGAATAAAACACCCAAGTAAACATAAAACGTCGCAGAAAACTATTTCTGGGGGAGCTTGGAAAATAATTAACCTCACCCAATATAAAACGAAGAGCTGAAGCAATACAAGAAGAACCTACCAAGTACCATAAATCTATAATCGTTGCAATAAAGAACACCGGTATTGGTGTAAAGGAGCAAACAGAATTACAGGAATCTGCAACAAAACAAGGTCGTTATTCTTATAGGGGTAGTGACATTAAATATTCAAAGAGGTATGACTTTTGTAAAAGAGTTATTTGTAATACTCGTTCAAAACGTGAAGA